AATGCGACTTTATGTAACTAGATAAAAAAAATCGCCAACCATGAATTGATGTAACAAAATTCAGGACTACTTCACAAAAACTCTCAAAATCTTGCTTCAATACAACTCTTTATAACTCGTGAAAGATGGCTATAATTAGTGACTAATGTTCCTCATCTTTTTTTTTTAAAAAAAAGAAAATCCGGAAAACAGGAACTAATGCCTTAAGAAATCAAATGGCACAATACACTCAAAGGTTGTACCTATGAGATGAATATTACTAATGTTCCTCATCTTGTAATTACCTCAAATAAGGAAAAAAAAAACTAAAAATAAAAGAAATCTAAATACTTAGTAAAAATCGGTTTGCAGTTGTAAATTTATTATTTCTGAGTGACAAGATCAAATAATTGAAACCATTTGGGTACGGGATGAACGTCTTATCCAACTTATCGATATTGGGTTCTCTGATAGCTAGATAGACCAAAGGCTTGAGCTTTTGCTATAAACTGAATACACAAAACTGTAACTTAGTCTGATTGTACTTTATATTTCCTTTTCTAGTAGTATCCAATTTTTGAATGTTTTGATTTGGATTAAATTGTGTCGACAATTTGTGTGGATGGAGGTAGAAGTCAATTGCGACATGCAAATGGCATTAATAATATTGAAGGGATTAATTTAATTCAGCATTGGATAAATCTGCAAACTTTTTGGTTTTCTTCAATCCTTCATGAATGAATTCATAGTTAAATTTGTCAAGTCGGTCGCCAGAAGATGAAGAGAATCACATTGACCGTAGCCGGCTAATTATTTCCAGCTTGATTATTTACTCGCCTTTGCCAATTGTTCCTGTTTCTACACATGCGTTTCTGCGGAAAAATCGACGAGAAAATGTACTTCCGGATGCTTGAAATTTCAACAAAAAGAGTATCTTCATTTGGACTTTTACCCAATTCTTGAGTTTTATGCATGTGTGTCTGTGTGCGCGTGTTTTTTTTTTTTTTTGGGTTTCTATTTTCTGAGCAATTCTCAGCGTTGAATCATTTCAGCCACATCGTCTTCAAAATCCGATGCAACGTTTGCTGGCTATAGACAGTTTGATTTGAACAAGTTAAAAATAAGTGAAAAATATGACACTTGAACAGAATTTTTTTTCTTTTGGAAATGGACATGATTCGCATCTATTTCTCTCATTCTTAAAAAATACTTACTTCAGTTCCCCAGTTATTTCATCAATCAAGTCCAATAGCGCCATTCAAACAAAATTGGATTTTTAATCTAAAAGTTATCACAAAAAACTTTTGCCGTTTATGATACAGGGAGTAACCATTTTTTATGGTACAAAAACTAGGATATCATTTTAAGTGATTATCTCAATTGGATTTTCATGTCTCAATTGAGTTCAATCAAATCGATGAAGTAAAGTACAGGAAGTGAAAAAAACTTTTGAAAGTTGAGAACTCGAGTTGTTTTTATTTGAGACAGTAAATTCGGACACTAAATGCGTAATATAATAAAAAAAAGCTACCCATTACTGTTGTAAGTTTATACGTGACTATGGGTCAATACAAGTACTACTATAAGGATCTTAGAGAGAAAGGGAACAAACAAGGAAAACAAACTACTATAAGGTGTTAGACTTTTAGTCGTAGTTCTAGTTATACTCCCTCCGTCCCAAATGATTGTATAATTTAGATTTCTATTTTAATGTAATTTTAATTAAAAATAAAATTTAAATTGAAAAATCATTTTAGGACAAAAAAGATATTATTTAAAATTGGCAACCACCGAAAAATAGAAAGGACTAATTTTCTATGTTATCAACCTTTTACGCATGTAATTATGTAAATTATATGTATACGTCGAAGAAAGTTCCCCAAAACCACAGATAGATAGAACACAAGGGGCCGGCGGGGGGTGGCCGGAGGTGGGGTTATCGGTGGGGGAAGGGGGGGTGGCGCCGGGGATGGGATTATGCGACAAAGGAAAACAAGGAAGATGCTTCCGGAAAGTTTTATACAGAGGAATGGGATGCTGGCCCTTTAGTGAAGCATCAAATTATGGACTAACATGCTTTTGTTACACTATCCAAATTAATTGTGTCGCATTCAGGTCCCAGATATTCCTCAAAATCTTATTTGTTGAGATTAAATTAAAAAAATAAAAATCAGTGGATGGAATCCTTAAACGCGGAATCACATGATCATCATATGTTATCTTTATGCATTGAAATGTTATACTATCTCCGTCCCAAAAAAAAAGTTCACGTTGAGTTTTCAAATTTGTACTAAAATCAGTATAAAACTTAAAACTCAATGTGGACTATTTTTGCGGGACGGTGAGAGTATATTTCATTTATATGAAGACTAATCAATAATTTGTTTTTTGGGTTCAACAAGAACGTCAAATCACACTTTGATGAATTATGTAATCGCTACAAGTTCCATAGCAAGAAACTTCAGTAATATCATATTATCAACATTTTGTGGAATAGAAAATAAATTATTAGACTATTGTCTATACCATTTTTTTTAATGCATCCCTTCCTTATTTAGCAATATCCTGATCTTGAACTCGCCGACCACGGAAACAAATTTCTGCTTGTTTCCCTGGAAAGAGTATAGGTATCGCGTGGTAGAAATGCTTTCCTTTATCAACATTTTTTTTTTGGTTCTTAGTGGCTAATTAACCACCATTAAAGTGCATGAACATCATGTTAATGAAAATAATCGTTTTGCTTTCTTTGGTCACCAAAGAAATAATGTTAACCTAAAGTTTGTACCTCATGATCATTTTCCATATTTCAAAGGGATCAATCCAAATATAAATAATTATAAATGAATTGTTGACAAACTTTCTGCTAATTAAAAAATATTGATTCCGTGAATCAATGAGATCAGTGAACCCATGAGTCAACGGAGTCAATGAATGCCCACTTTCTTTTTCTAAAAAAGAAAAAATTGGATCCACTCATAAATTATACTCCCTTCGTCTCAAATCCATTGTTCACTTTGAATTTTAATTTTTAATTCAAATTATAATAAAAGTGAAATCTCGAACTAGATAATAATTTTAGGACAGAGTGAGTAGAATATAACCTAGAAAACTCCCTTCAAAATATGGAAGTTTAAAGGCAACCTAAAACGAACCCCTTAACACAACTAAATTTTAAAGTTTATACTCTCTGTTACATTTTAATGTATAGTGTATTTTTTTTTTTTTATAGAAAAAGAGAGAATAATCAAAACGAGAGGAAAGACGTTTTAGTCACATCTTGGCTTATGCAGTGCTCCGTTAAAACAAATATGCATGTGATTAAAAGCGCACCTAGCTATATATGACTGATAAGCAGCCATGTATTACAAAGCTAACGTGCTCATATCTCTTAACCCTAGTATCGTATTGGCTTTGATAAGAGAACTGGAATTTAACCCAGAAACTGGGAAAGCAGTTCACATTATTGGTACCTAGCCAGCCAGATTGTGGGTTCAGTTATGCATATATGGGTATAACACAATTCGACATTGCTGTTTTGTGTTTGAAATTTTCCAGATTCATTAACCAAAATAAATAAATAATAAAAAAATTTCCTGATTCAAATACATCACTAACGTTGAAGGCAGACAATTTTTTTAAAAAAAAAAAAACAAAAAAGGTCCCGATGCCAAATTTGTAAGAAAATAATCGTGACTTTCTTTACTACTTTTAGTCTTTCTGGGGAGAATTGGAAAAAAAACGTCAGTGTTTCAAAAGCTGAACAAGTCGAAACATTTTAAAAGCGAGGGTGTTTGAAGACAACGGACCCCCCCTTATTTGGTTTGCTTTCTGAAGGACACGTACCACATTGCATTTTACGACAACCTATGTATTTTGAATATTCCCATCTGGAAACAATATTATGGCATAATCTCCTTCAATAGACCTCATAAATTCATGCATTGAGGGAGGCATGGCTTCGAAATCGTTTTATTCAAATAAGTCATATAACATAATGATGGTGCTATTCGGTACTGACAACCCAAAGAAATTGTGGACAAAGTAGGGCTTTTTTATGCAATTCCATCTCCTTTCACGTTTTCTCTTTTCCCTTTTTTTGTGCATGCATAGTCTTCTTAGTATAAATAAATAAAAAAAACTCCAAATTGACTTTATTACAATGAAGATGATACTGTATCTGTACTATTAGTAGTATCTGATAGTGTAAAACCATTCTAATTAAACTCGTATAAACGAACAACAGGAACTTCTAAAATGATTGTTTAATTTAGATTTTTATTTTGAGTATAATTTATATTAAAAATAAAAATTTAAATTAAATAATTATTCTGCGATAGAAGCAGAATAATAGTAATTAATTATGTTAAGATTTTCTTAATTTCCTCCCTAGAGTCGTCGTTTACTTTTTTTTTCCCTAACTAGCAATGGAACGAGGAACTAATAGTCAAATTATTTATTCCCTCTATTCTAAAATAATTATTTAGGATTGTCACTTTTAGTTTAAATTATATTAAAAATGAAATTTTAAACTGAATAATTATTTTGGGACAGAAGAAATACTTTATTTCAAATTTATCTTCGTTTTTGTAAATGCTTCCATATGCCGATTATTTGGACTATTATGGCAGTGAAATAGTTCAATTGTTATAAAAACAAAAAAAAAAAATAAAAGAAAAAAGAAAATGCTCACATTACCCTTTGTTGGTCCGACAACAGTATTTATGATCTTCTTTGGTCAAGCATTGATGAACACCGTCCACTAAAAATCCACACAGAATATATAATCCTATTTTCTTTAATTTAATTCATATTGTTTATTAGTTCATCACATTCAGACATTCTGTATTTATAAATACGCTTTAATTTGAACGATCAAGAACTCGCAATTTGCAAACCGAAACTCCACATTCGAAAAAAACAATCTTGCTTTTATGTTCATTTTGTTCTTTCGCTATACAACCCTTTCTTAAGTATTTGAATGGTACTCATATAACTGAGTCATCGAACATCATCATCAGAAAATGTTGTCAAGGAAAGCTACTTGCAAATCTCACGGCCAAGATTCTTCTTATTTTTTGGGATGGCAGGAGTACGAGAAAAACCCACATGACGATGTTCTTAATCCTTCTGGGATCATTCAGATGGGCTTAGCCGAAAACCAGGTACGCAATGTCGTAACATTTTGTATCCGAGAGAACAAAAAAAAAAAAAAAAGAAAAAAGAAGAGAAGTACTTGTAGAAGTAACTTTTAATTATGATTTTAGGAATTTCTTTTGGGTCTAAAGCTTGCATTTTGTTAACGTGGAACTATCACTTGTGAAGTGAAGTAAAATATAGAACTACTTGTTTTTAAAAAAGGCCGAATTTAGTAATTTACATTCGCATCAATGACTAATTGTACAGACGACAAATACTCATCTAGTTTCAAAATGACTTAGTACAATAAATGAAAAAATTATTTTGAGATAAAAAACAACTATTATTAGTTTTTGAAAAATCACAACCGGGTGGTTTACAATAGTTCGATAGCCCTCTTTTGGGGGCGAAACCGTGGCTACAACATGATGTAATTAAGGTGACATATCTTCGAAACGTGAGGAGTCGATCTTAGGCTGTGTGCCTCTTTTATTGTAAAAAAAAAATGTTGGAGATATACATTGCATGTAGGTCGTAGATGAATATGTTTTTTTTTTTTTTTTTGGTTCTATAAACAAATAATGGCATTTCACGTGAGATGTTCCCATAACATTCTTTTTGTTTCATTTGCAGCTATCATTCGACCTTCTTGAATCATGGTTGGCCAAAAATCCAGAAGCAACAATGTTTGCCAAGAACAACGTAAATGGAGGATCGATCTTCCGAGAACTAGCCCTTTTCCAAGATTATCATGGATTGCAAATTTTCAAGAATGTAAGAAACTAATGATATAATCCCAAACTAACTTTACAATTATACTGCATAATATATATACATTGTCATGCAGGACTTATGTTATTTCGTTTCTTTTATCCCTTTTTTTTTTTTCCATCTTTACTAATTAAATAAATTGCCTTTTTGCTTTTGGGCATAACATTTTGTTCAGGAACTAGTAGAGTACATGTCTGAAATAAGACAAAATAAAGTAAGATTTGACCCCAAAAAGCTGGTACTCACAGCTGGTTCAACTTCCGCAAATGAGACACTCATGTTTTGCTTAGCTGAACCCGGCGAAGCTTTCCTCATCCCTACTCCATACTATCCAGGGTATAGTCTAATTCATTCCATTTCTCTTGGTTTTCTTTACTCCATCCGTCTCAGAATATTAGTCAATTTTGTTATACCATGCGATAATTTTTATGCGACCGAGGAAGTACTATTAATCAACTTTTGAACTTTGTAATATTGATTTTTTTTTTATTTAGTCATTTCAACCTTTTTTGGATTTTGACTCTTTGTTACGTATGTCCAGGTTTGATAGAGACCTGAAATGGCGAACTGGGGTTGAAATTGTTCCGATTCACTGCTCAAGTTCAAATGGCTTCAGAATCACCAATTCCGCCATAGAAAATGCTTATGAAGAAGCCCTTAACCTTAATCTAAAAGTCAAAGGCATTTTTATTACCAACCCTTCCAATCCACTAGGTACTACCATGAATCAAAAGGAATTCAACATTCTCATTAGATTTGCTATGCTCAAAAAACTCCATATAGTCAGTGATGAAATTTATGCTGGAACTGTTTTTCATCCCAAAAAATTCATCAGCATAATACAAGCCATAAAAACCCTCAAATTGGAAAATAGTGACATTTGGACCCGATTTCATATTGTTTCCAGTCTCTCGAAAGATTTAGGCCTTCCCGGATTCCGAATCGGATTAATCTATTCCAATGATGAAACACTCATAGCTGCAGCCACTAAAATGTCCAGTTTCGGACTAATTTCTTCCCAGACGCAATATTTACTCTCCAAACTTCTTGGAGACAAAAAATTCACGAAAATTTACGTAAGGGAAAATCGAAAGAGATTGGAGAAGCGACAGAAGATGTTGGTTTTGGGGCTCAAAGAATTTGGGATTCAGTGCTTAAAGAGCAATGCTGGATTGTTTTGTTGGATAGACATGAGAAACTTACTTGATTCTGATACGTTTGAAGCTGAGCTAAAGCTTTGGAAGAAGATTCTTTACGAAGTCGGTTTGAATATATGTCCTGGATCCTCTTGTCACTGCTCTCAGCCCGGTTGGTTCCGGGTTTGTTTTGCAAACATGTCTGAAGAAACATTAAACCTTTCAATTCATCGGATGAGGGCGTTCGTGTATTCCATTGGACACAATCAAGCCTACACATCAAACGTGAATTTGATGAATTAGCTTTGTGAAAACGTAATAAGCACCCATGCATATTCTGTGTATGTACCTGCATGTACACATGTGAGAAATAGTCAAATGGTGTATGCGCATGTATTTACTACTCTATTGTAATAATATGCGATTTGAACAATGCATATAAGGATGACGAGGAAATGAAATATTAATGTGATTAAAATATAATTATGTCGCGAGTATTTTTAGTTATCTCAGATATGTTATGGATTTACTAAATTATAAACCTTACTACATTAATGATATTGATTTTTTTTTCTTCTTAGAAATAATGATATTGGTTTGAATGAATTTTGAGATGTTATGTAAATACTGGAAATTTTTTTTTTTTTGGTAAAATCATAAACTTGTATTGATCAAACTTCACAAACAGTCAAACTGTACAAAGTGTACACTTACATTTTAGGAACTCGTCTCTAACTCCAATCCTATTCCTTTCAGAAAAGCACTCTCCACCACCTTTAGTTTCTTGTCTTTCAAGGAATACAAAAGTCTCCATTTCATCTCTGGTTTAATCCTCTCTATACATACATCAACTCCTGTTTTTACATCCCTAAACCTCCTTCTATTTCTTTCCAACCAGATGTGATAAATTGCCGCATTGAGCACAACATAAGTAATCCTTTTCTGCAAAACTTTGTATCTCCAAACTCTCAATATAGCCTTCACATTTAACCAGTCAATATTGATAGGTAAGTGCAACCAGTTCTGGATCTCCTTCATCAAAGTTTTAGCAAACTCACATTGAAAGAACAGATGCATTGCTGTCTCCCCCTCTTTCAGACAGAGAACACAGACTTGATCATCAGGAATGATCTTCATCTGTTTCAGTCTATCAGCTGTGGCCAGTCTGTTCTTCCAGGTCAGCCAGCTAATGAAGCTGTGCTTAGGTACTGAATATACACTTCAAACAATGCTAGTAGCATGATCTTTCTTCTTCTTTCCTCTTAACCAGTCATATCTTCTCTTGGCAGTATACTTCTTCCCTCCATTCCCTTGCTATTGATCACTGATGATACCTGCTTTGAGTTCTTCCTTGACTTTTATAGTAAAAATATATTTTCATATTCGTTGTGCTCTCTTGATTGTTATGAAATATTTTTAAGGTTTTTTCGTCAATTAAAAATGTGTATTACGTGAAACTTAGGACAAATCAAAATACCTTATATTAAGAGGACCGGAGGGAGTATTTAATTTCATATTCCAATTTCCCCCATTAATTCTAGTTTTTATTAAATACTCATCCGGTTTGTTTTTTCCAGCATAACTAAAGTTCATCTCTGTGTGAAGGACAAGTACCATGACACTAAAGTGAATGTATACAACAAATTCGGTTCTTGGCTCCCGGTGGAAAGTAGAGTTTGGTTAGAAGTAATGAGGGGTTTCTTCAATTTTGTGAAGTGAACCAAAAAGAATGGAGAAAACGGCTCAAACTTCTGTCGTGTTTGTGATATTAGGTTTTGATATATACAACTTCCATCAACTTCCAAATTTACGGTACACAATCTCTATCTAAGGTAAGTACATATTTTACTATAATGTCTAATATATTACCAAAATATATGTACATCGTAATACCCCATCAAGTTGGAGCATGCAAATTCCGAAAGCCCAACTTGCCTAGAAAATAATTGAACTGTGGTTTGCTCAAGGCCTTAATAAAAATATCAGCAAGTTGCACATGTATAGATACGTAGCTGGGGAGAATAGTACCCTTCAAAACTTCATCGCGAACAAAATGACAGTCGACCTCAATGTGCTTGGTGCATTCATGAAAAACTGGATTGGATGCAATATGCAAAGCGGCCTGGCTGTCACAGTAAAGACGAATAGGATGAGGATGAGGAATGCCAAGAAAATGTAATAAACCCTTCAACCAGTTCAGCTCACAAACAGTAGAAGCCATAAAGCGATACTCGGCTTCAACATAGGAGCAAGAAATCGTCTCCTATTTCTTTGTCTTCCACGAAACTGGCGAAGTACCTAACTGAACAAACCAACAGTAAGAGAACAACGAATTAACGGACAACTTGCTCAATCAGAATCACACCAGTCAGGTAACTGAAGATCCGAGTCAGCCCGTAAAAGAATACCCTGGCCGGGATTGCCCTTGAGAAAATGCACAACTCGAAGGGCAGCCTCCCAAGAAGCCTGCATAGGACGTTGCATGAACTGAGCAAAAGTATGAACACTACAAGATAATTCAGGACGATTAATAGCAAGATATATCAGACGCCCCACCAAGTGCTAATAGGATTTGGGATTCGAAAGAGGCGTCTCAGTAACCAAAGAAAGGTTATGATTTTGCTCCAATTGAAAACCAACGGGTTTAGCCCCTAACAGTCCAACCTCATAAATAATGTCTAAGGCATACCTACGTTGACATAAAAAAATGCCAGAAGAATTTCGAGCAACCTCATTGCCAAGAAAATATTTGAGAACTCCAAGATCCTTTATGTGAAAGAATTTGCTCAAGTCTTCCTTGAAATACTGTGTAGCCAAACTATTATTCCCAAAAATAATAAGATCATCAGCATAAACCAAAACAGTAAACTGCATAGTACCACGACGAAGCACAAACAGAGTAGTAGTTAGAACAAGACTGCTGAAAATCATACCGTCATAAGGTACTAGCCAACTTGGCAAACCATCAATGAGGAACCTGTCGCAAACTATAAAGAGAGAGATGAAGACGACACACAAAGCCAAATTCGTGAGAATGAAACCCATGAGGCAATCTCATATATACTTTCTCATCCAGATCTCCATGCAAAAAAACATTATGAACATCCATTTGATGAACTTCCCAAAGGTCTTGTTGTAATCAAGACCCTCAATCTGATTGTTGCCTAAGATTACCAGACGGGCTTTACATCGCTCGAGGGATCCATCAGAATTATATTTAATCTTGAACACCCATTTACAACCAATCGCGCGTTTGCCAGGAGGAAGAGAAGTAACAGTCCAAGTGCCATTCTTTTCTAAGGCATGAATCTCTTGTTGCATAGCAAGCTGCCACTTAGGATCCTTAACAGCTTTAGAAAAACTCAGAGGTTCAATGCCTGCAATGACACTAGCCAAAAATGCGCGATGTTATGGAGAAAAAGAAGCACAAGAAACATAATTGTGTGTAGGATAGGACGCATCCGAGGAAATTAACTGAAGCAGCAGATGTGACAGGAGAGGGGCTTAATGTTGTAATAGTGTGGGACGCGAAATCACGTAGTCGAGTAGAACGTTGTTTGATGCGATGCCCACGACCCAGAAATTCTTTCTGTTGTTCAGAAGTAGAGCCCCCCCGGCAAACGAGGGGGGAGAAGGAGAAACAGAAACAGGTGTGGAAGTACCAAAAGATGATACAGGAACCGGAATAGGCGAAGACTCCTCAACAGAATCAGAAAGATCATCATCAACAAAAACAGGAGAAGACTCAAAGTGGGGAGATGAAACCATATCTGAAGTCATAGAAACAGAAGAAAACTCGGACTCCGAAAACACAACATAACGAGGGACCAAGAATTCACCGGTGTCTAAATCATAAACACGCCAACCCGTTTTGCCATAAGGATAGCCCACAAACAAACATTTCTGACAACGACTAGAAAACTTATCGCCACGATGATTCTGATTATGCACATAACATAGACATCCAAAAACTCGTAAATGATCCAGAGAAGGGGGCTTGTAATATAAAAGCTCACAAGGGGTTTTACCATTCATAACACTAGAAGGAGTACGATTAATCAAGTATCCACCAGCAAGCACACATTCACCGCCAAAATTTAATAGGAAGGTGAGCTTGAAAATGTAAGGCACGAGCCACATTTAAAATATGTTTATGTCTTCGTTCAACACGACCATTTACTAGGGAAGGGGTCCCACACAGGGAGTTTCATGCAAAATGCCATGCTGAAGAAAAAAATTAGTTAAACACATAAACTCGGTCCCATTATCACTTCGAACATGTTTCACCAATTTTCCATGCTGACATTCAACCATAGCAAAATAATTACGTAGCTTCAAAGAAACTTTTGTTTTATCATTCAACAAATAAATCCATGTACCACAAGAAAAATCATCAACCATAGTAAAAAACTAACGAGGAGATTTTTGCTAAAACACTATTCAATCGGGACAACAGAACTAGGGTTTTACTAGGGCAATAATATATGGTAATCGTTCACATATTGTATTTGGTTTGGGAATACAACCCGTATTGTAGTTGAAGTCTTAAAGATACAATACTTTGAACATATCCTAAATTAATTCAGCTGTATCGACCCATATAAAATCTAGCTAGTTAAAGTTAAAATAATTGACTTATAATTGGATTAGAGTTTTTGCCCTAACGAAAAGGTTTAGAGAATTTTGGGCCATAAATCAAATAAGGCACATTTGTGGTCACATTATTTGTTGTCTCCGCAAAATTTGCCCCTGGGTGTTTTCGTTTTTTCTTTTTCTGAAGCACATCAATTATTTAAGTTCAGGAGAAGAGATTAAACTAAACTGTAGTACAACACTCTTTATGCCAACATTTTGCTCAATCTTTCATGCATTACTTATTTGCTTCCTGCAGTAATTAACCTTTAGTGATGGAAGTTTTCTTCTTGTTGAATGTAAAATTTATTGGATATAAGAGAAGATTTTTGCTACTGAAATCCAAGTTTAAAATTTTAATTGCTTGCAGCCTTGAGTTGCATAAATAATGCATATACAGTTGTTTGCCACAATTCGATGGTTGATGCATTATACAAGGCTCTTGATTCCGTGGCAATACCAGGTGAGTAAGAGAGAATATGATCGAACCCTACTAGTATTAGCTTTCTGTCGTATAAACTTTAAAACTTATACCAAGTATCAAAGTAAGGCACGAGCCACATTTAAAATATGTTTATGTCTACGTTCAACACGACCATTTTACTGGGGAAGGGGTCCCACACAGGGAGTTTCATGCAAAATGCCATGCTGAAGAAAAAAATTAGTTAAAC